CGTAAGATCTTCTTTCTTTTCAATTAATTGATGAATATGGATTCGTTGATGATGATGATTTTGACCGTTAATTCGATTATGAATAGCTAAATCAATATGCTAGGGATTAGGGGATTGATGTTTTAATTCGTTTGTGATTGTCGGGCTTGAGATTGTTCAATTCGTGCGAGTTGCTCTTTTTCTAGGGATTTCGATTATCAGGCTCGAGTTTTGCGAACTGTTGAAGGGGTGACACTTCAACGTCCAATTATTTTAATTGAGTTCGTTTAATTCATGTATGATTTTCATAAAATTCTAAATGACTAGTTGATTAACCAACCTCTAGTCTAATTTAATCGACTCTTAGAATCGAAAGGGGATGATTCGGTCGAAATAGGCTCGTATGAACTAAGCTTGTTCGTAACTGTATTGCCTAGACGTTAATTGAATTGTTAATTTGTCGTTTAAGCTTGTTCTCTTGTTACGAACAGTTATTGAGAATGAAAACTTGAACGATAGGTTATTCTAATCACTTAACCGAATAATCTCTTGCCCATCAATTGCATTCTCGAATCAAAACGGATATCCCCGACTCCCTAGCTCGTTAAATCCTATGTGTTCTTCGTCTTTGCTTGCTACTTTTACTGTTTAATTTAATTATTTGCAATAGTTGATAATTAAAAACCAATCCAATTACTTGAACTAGAATGTTTAGGAATTTTACTTCTTTTATTTCTTTTTGTGTTCTTGAATAAACGTGCATTATATTCCGGCTAACCTTTTTCGTGAGACACGACCCGGTGTCCGAATCTTTCGATTCTACTCCGGAAAATATTTACAACAGTATATATATCGGTCTACATTATACTCTTGAATACAATCGGTTTATACCATTTTACATGGTATTATTTCTAATTTCCAACCTCACCTTACACCCCTTATTCTTGATGAGACCATCGGGTGAGAAGGGTAAGATATATATTGTTTGTTGTTTGTTGCTAGTAACTTGTTGAAGTAAGCATCATGGTAGCTTAACTTGTTGAACCCAATTAGGTGACAAGGTAGACGACATTGCTTAACATATTTCTTCTTCTTAACCCCTTTCCTAGATAGGGCGTAATCTATGACTCTAATCTCTATACCTTTCTTAAACTAAATAGAGTATTGGAGCTTCAATAACTTAGTGGTCCATTTCTGTTGCATGGGTGTCATGACTTTTTAATCAAGAAGATGCATGTTGGTCGGTCCTTATTATAAAGTAGTGCCTTTGCTAATACTTGACACTTCTTGTATGCAATATCTTGATCTAACATAACACTGGCCAAACTAAAAGTGAAGATAAAATGATTTGTTAATACTTGGCATTTCTTGTGTGCAATATCTTGATCTACATATCATCTAGGGGAGGGCTCCATAACAAACTCAAACGGAGCTCCACTAATCAAGGCTAACAAAGATTACCCATAAGATAAGCTAGAGCCATCAAATGTCATATAGTCCCTAGTTAAAAGTTCATGACAAGCTAAGGTAATTAACACTTCAATTAGACTAAGTAATTAATATCAATCAAAAGCCATTTTGTCCCCTCTAGAAGTTACAAAGCATTCCGAAAATACAAAACAAGCAAAGAGAAAATATACACAAGCAAATAGTGGAATATTACCTGGCGAGAAAGATCAAACTGCGACAATATGACTTCTGCTGCCTTTAACGTTTTATCAATGTTTTCATGAGCTTTCCGAATAGCATGAGTTCTAATCTACAAAGAGAATGAACACCAATTATAAACAACAAGAGAGGCACATGAACAACAAGATTTAAGGAGTAAGAATGAAGTTAGAAAGAAAACATCATCATTTGAAGTGATTTGGTAACCTATACCTAGAGAAATAATACGAAAACATTAGTCCATAAAAAAATGTCATGAGAAATTACATCAATTTGTAGCTAAATGAGAGTATTACATAAATGCTTCAAATAGAGGTGTAGGCCATGGTGCCGCCTTGTGAACCGTTGGAAAAAACAAAAGAAGATAAACAATACATTACATACTTAAGTGCACATTGCAAAATCATCATGTATAGAAGTGACAAAAAGCGACATTAAAACATGAGTCGACGAAAAAAAAAGTTACAAACAACCAAGGAGAATAAGAAAAATATGCACAAACAGTTTATCGAGATTCATGCATGGAACAAACTAAGGAGGCTGGATAGATACAAGCTGGTTAAGTCGGAGGGTTAGCCTTGATTTCCAGTGGCAACTATCTTTCGTGAGTGACTTTTCCCTTACAATATACTCGTATAGCCATGGAGGACTACATTAACGAGTACAAGTTGTTTAGACCATATATCTTTTGACTCTATAAGAGTTGCAAGCTAGGAAAACTACTACAACTCTAATATTTTATTAGCATTTTCCTTTCAGGTACATTTAATATTCATTGAGATGTATATATTGTCATTCAAATGTATGTATGGGCTAGCCACTTTTGCTAAAAAGGGTGATAATAAATGGTATGTTACTTTCTACTAGTGATCATTCTTAATATACATGGATTTACTTCATGAAACATCGTTCCCAGTTGGGTTTATTTCTTAATTCTTTTTCGCATGCATGGTCCACACTCAGGTTTATGCTCTTATTCGAGTTGTTTGTTCTAATTCTGGTTGAGAGGATCTAAGGGATTGTATTCGTTTGGGATTTCGAGTGACATTTAGAGACTTTGAGATTTGAAATTTTCAGATTTTGGAGGAGGAATCCTGGACAAGGAATTTGGAGTGCAATTTCGTATATGTATTTTTCTTTAGAAATCCAACAAATCTTAAAAAGTCTTAGCAAATCCTCTTTTTTAAAAATCCCAAATGAATACCCCAAGACTTTTAAAAGTCTTGAAAAGTCTAAATGAAATACCGCAACATTTCTAAAGTCTTTAAAAATCTTTAGAAATCACAATTGAATACACTCCATAATATTCACTAGGTGGAAAAATCCTTGGAGGGTAGTACTCTTGCTCAACTATCATATCATGGTGTAGATGCTTTGGTACTGCTAAGAGAAAACACCGCCAGTGGCAGTTGCTCGAACCCTTTTTGATTGCCTCTTTTGTTCTTTCTCATTTTTGAGAAGTTGTTTCTATCAGTTGTTTATCTTATCAATCTACAACCATCATTATACTGTCTCGCCTCGCGTGGTACTTTATGCTAGGATCATCTTCGGGTTTTGGGATGGCCTGTGGGGAGATAATTCCCAATGGCATTCGAGAAGGCTGGCCAAGGCGTGGCCATTCAATACTATGATTGTCAGATGAACAAAAAAGTGTTTCTAATAAAAGAACAAACAGATCAGCATTGGAGAGGCATGGGTGGCTCACTGGCTGATGCTATGAAACTTGAAGTAACAGAAAGGGGTATATACTGATGAATTTATATGCAGATTCCTAAGTGATTTGGTCCTAATATAACACTGAACAGAATAGTGGCAACAAATACACAATCGAGCATATATCTTATAAGTGAGGTTATCTAGACAATATAAGCACATAAATCAAAATCAGATCCGACACAGTGAATCAGAAAGGAAAAATGAAGGATTTTTTTTTTATTATGTTTCAAATCCTAAATCACAAAACTATAGATGGAAGAACTAGTAACCTAAAGAAACTCAGATCAGCAGTTTCACTTGTTCTGAAGATGGAAAGCATAGACACAATAAAAATTTATCTTTGGCTTTTTAAATGCACATAGATCATGAATCTTATCATCCAAAGTGATAATATAACCAAAAAGGAAAAAAGAAAAAGGGAAAAAAAAAAAAAAAAACTAAATGAAACTTACACCAATTTTCCAATAAAGAAAGTAACCAGAATAGCAGATCAACAAGTCTTGAATGCTTTATTAAAAGATAAACGATTATTGGATTCAGATACAAGTTAACACTCTTCCCCAAAACCCAAAAAACATCCAAATGCAGCCAAAGTCAGCAAGAATTTTTTCACCGTTTGAAAAAAAAAAAAAAAAAAAA